CGGTTTGCCAAGAGCAGCACGCAGCTGAATAGCAATAAATTAAAAATCTGGGTTATACGGAAGATTTTATGGGTTGGAGGGGTGGGGGAGTTGTTTTCTGCTCTAGACACTACAGCTGCTTAATAGGCCTTTCTGACGCCCCTGTGCTTGACCTTCGGCGTGGGCCCTGCACATGGGCCTGCTCCAGCTTGAATCTCTCGGCTCTGAACGTAGCAGGAAATGTCGATGCTGTCTGGCTCTTACTACTCTCCTCCCTTAAGAGATGGATCCTGTCTCCACGTTAGGAACAGTAGCTAGGATCATGCTTAAAATCCTCCAGGTCTGTTTCTGTTCCTGTTGAAGTATGGTTAGGGACAAGTGAACACTCAACTTGCTGCTCTGTGCCTTGCCAACGGCCCATCCACCTACTTCGTGGTGTTAATCTCTTTGAGATTTGACCTCTTCTCCCCATGTATGCAAGACATGTATCATGCATAGTTACTGATACAAGCATAAAGAAGGCCTTAAAAACCTGAAAGGTTCTCTGAAAATTTTATTTCCATAAATTAAAAACACACACAAAAGAAACAGTGAAATTTTAGGTTTACACAATATCGAACAGAAACAAAATGCCAAGAGCCTGATGGAGGCTAATGGCACAAGTGTACAAATTCTCATTGAGCTATTTGTTAACTTGATAGTATCATAGAGACTTTGAACCCACAGTTACCATCCGTATTCTAGAAGAGCACCTGGAACATAATACACCAAAGGCTCACCTCAGAGAACTGCTTGCAGAAAATCATATCCAACAAGCATCCGAACTCAAGTGTATGTAGCCCCACAGCCAGCCAGGCAAATGCTGTTAACATACATTAAGTAGCCTGAGCCACTCCTGTCATAGCATGATGAAAACAAGATTTTTTTTCCTTTATATTTTTTTTCTTTGGGAGGTGATCTTTCTACCTTCCATCACCAGCAAATTTAGCAAAGAGCTGCCTGGCTCTGCAGAACTTACTAATAAGAGGCAGTACAGCTTTGCAATTCCTCTCAAGCTGCTCCAGTCATCACTGTGTGAGCTATATGTACAATGTCTTTCCATGATGATGCAAACAAAATCCTCACTGGAGTGGGTTCATTTTATGAAAAGGCAAGTGTACATATCGTTCAGCTAGGGAGGTATGCAAGACCCCAAAAGATGCATCTTCTGTACTTTTCATTTATCTGGGACAGAAGCAGCTCAGAGTGGCAAATGTGTAGCTTTTGCACCGTCACCACTCTCAGTGGACAAGCAGCAGCCACAAGGAACAAAGCTGTTCCATGAGTGGTGTAAACAGGAACAGAGGTGAGAAAGGACAAAAGAAGCGCACAAGCGTAACTGACAGCTGTATGCTGGAGGGGGAACAAGATGCTTTGTTTCAATTAGCTTACATCTCTATCATCACACAAATACTAAACCAAAGCAGCATAATGCTGTATATTTGGGTTTCCACAAACTGGGACAAGCTAGGCAACTGCAACATCATTTTGTAACTCCTCCAAATATTGTAAAGGAAAGAGAATTGAGTGCTTCTTTGCTCTGCTCTCTCTGCTGTAGCTGTTAAAAAGAAAGCTAAGAAATACTACTTTAAAGCAATCAGAAAGAAGACAGAGCAGGGAAGCAGACAAAAAACTCCAAAACCTAAAAAAACCCAAACCCACAACCTAAAGGAAAACCCTGAAACATTCCATGTTTTGAAGCATATTAGAGGCCTGAACTTCACCTGGACCCAAGTTTCCTCCCTCACCACCCATATCCTTGTTTCCTTAAAAGACCCGGTAAGGTTACAGCACAATCATGTCATTCTTTGATCCCAATAACAGAAGGTGAATGAATGCTGTGTAACAATCCTATTATATAGCATAAAACCATAAAAATATATATATATATCTCACTCTTGCCACAGCTTCCAGTCAGTCAATAATTAGGCTAATAAACCAGTATAGAGAAAGTTTCAAATATTTTTAAAAGGCAGTCAACCTTTACTTTTTAGGGATTTATTTTTATAAAAATAAAGAGATCAATTAAAACGTTCTACAGCTGCCAAACAGGTTAAGCAGACCTTGCTGCTGAAATAGTAAGTCCGTATGTTCAAAGTTTGCCTGCCTTACCATTTTACCCTCAAAACCCAAACACCGCTACACTAAGTGTGCACACTCCTCTCTTTTCTTCAGTCTTCCTGAATGTAAAGAATGTAAACTTCTAGGAATCCCAGCACATAAGATGGGAGCAAAACAAACCAACATTACATTTCTTTCAAGACTTAGGCACACACAGAGTAGCAATCCTCTTCCATTTCTCTGCTTTCAAAGCTCTTCAACAGATGGCTTGTTAATTTTTAGTTTCTGTTTGGTCAGTAACAGAAGTGGCAGAGCAACAGAAGATTATGATGGTATTTTCAGTCCTGCATTTCTTGGAACTTTATTAAAAATACTCCCCCACTAGATAATTTGCTCATTTTGAAGCTAAATAGAAACTCTGTTATAGGGTTAGGTAAATAAGAAAGTGCAAGTTTCAAGTGAAAAAGAACAGGCTATTAAATTTGAGCATCCCAGCAACGACAGCTTTGCCTGAATAATTTCTATAGGCACTAAAGGACAGAAATCACCTGAACTGCAGCTAGCATTCATTTTGAATTATGCTTCAAGTAAGTTTAACAGAAGTTATCCCAGAAGGGAGCTCTCTTCCCTCAAAAGGTATAGCTGAGAAATTGCCCAGTGCTGCATCAGATAATTACAAGTGGCCCTACATAATGAAAAAAAAAAAAGTAATTTTCACATGCTAGGAGGCTCTTTGTACAACACTAGCTATTATGTACAACAGTGCTGTTCAGAGTATATCTAATTATAAGCTACATGAATTGTACATCTAAAATGGTAAAAAAACTCTCAAGATGGAGAAAAATATTTTCTTGTTGGCATTAAAATCAAGGTGGTATTTTTACTGCAATTAAAGTCCCTTAAAAATAAGTCTCAAAGATTTTGCTGGTGTTCCCTGCATGCAGCAGCTCAACTCAATTAAATAAAAGCCTCTACTTACGTATCCTGCAGCTTAACAGCCTCATGGGCTAACTAGCTTTTCCTCTGGAGAAGAGGATGGCATTAGCCAAGTAGGTAAGAACTCTTTTTTGGGGGGAAAAATTAGCACTGGGCACCATTTTTTTCTTAAAATATTACCTTTTTTTTTTGAGCACAGTCATGTTAAAAGGTGTCCACATGCAGCAAACAAAGAAACATATACAAAGTGCAAGTTATTTAAAGTCTAGTTCTGTGGGGCTTCTGCTGCCTGAAGCCAGGAAGGACACAAGAACTCAGAAGGAACCTCCTAAGTAAACAGAAGGAAGAAACAATTGAAAGCAAACCCAGACAGCTACTTCTACTTATTAAAAAGTTAGTGGTATATCAAGTATGAGTTTGCTAGAATTCATCTTTATCAAACACCGTATCTCTTCTGTCAGGTCGTTCAAAATAGCCATTACAGTAACAACAGCAGACTCAAATGTGCAAACGATCTGGAGTACAGAGTTCTAGCGTCACTGAAGGTGCACTACTCCCTCCTTTACACACCTACTCTACCCCCAAAAGGTGTTTAAACATAATTAAACATTAGCAGTAATTTCCAGAGGTTGGGGAAGGAATGGTAAATCATACGTGGCTGTGCTACACTCAGACAGGGACCTACAAGAATCCCTCCAATAGCATATTAAAAAAAAAAAAAAAGAATAAAAAATAGCACCTTAAAGAGGGCCACAGCCAAAAACTGATCATCAGACAGTAGAACAGAGTGGTAGAGTAACCTATGAAGAAGTCAGCAGGTACTTCCTAACAGGACTAAAACACTAAAGGAGCTGACTGGACCATTTTCAGCTAAATGGCTCTCTTAGATGCTAGAGGCCTGCTCCTGCTCAGCCTCCTCTGCAAAAAAGGCTTCGAGGTCCATTAGCTTCTGACTCAGAAGAGCATCTAACTCTGCACTCTGTAGTGCAGCTTTTTTTGCTCGGGTGAAACTACCCACTGCTTTGATTTTGCCTCGTGTCTTCCTCTTCCGGGGAAGAGTGAAGTCCTGAAACTCTAGAATCCGCTTTCTCTTCTGCTGGCTGACAGAGACCAAGCGTCCATTTTTCTCCTTGGGCTCTTCAAAGATTGTTTCCAAGCTCCTGCAAGCAAAGGACAGAACATGTGAATACTCAGGAAGCAGTTACCACCTTACAAGGACAGGGAGACCAGTGGATCCCTAACCCAAACAACCGCACTTCCAACTTACACTTTCACAGCCCCTCTGCACCTCTTGTAACGTACACTCATCTACAGCTTCCACCTCCTGCAACTGCACAGCACTGCCAGCTAAATAATTTGTTACAGGTGCACAGACAATTGGGTTCAAGCTCTTTCTATCCATTTTTCAGATCAAAAGCACAATTACAGAAGCTTGATCTATAAAGATTAAAGAGATCTGAACATTAAAAAAGTAGCATCTTGATAATCAAACTATACTTGATGACAGGCAGTTATTCTTAGTATTTTAAAGAATATTTAGTTGCCTTTGAATTTTGAAAAAGCATATACTGTACTTGGATGGAGGCTGCAGTGAACGAATAGGTAAAAAAACCCCACAAATGCAAATTGTCAGTTCATGTTCTATTTCACTGCTTTCCATCCAAGTAGTAAAAGATACTATTTTTTTCAAGTAACTTTATCCTACCACTTTAAACTAGAGTAATTAAAAAAATATATCTCCCTTAGCTTTCAGTCACCTTTAATCTTCTCTCTCTCTCGACCTAAGTAATTTACACTTGTCTCAGTTTTCTCATTAGGAAGCAGAACCAACCTGGCTGGAGGAGGGGACTTATAGTTCTTGTTTGTGTAAATTTCTTCTAAACTAAACTCTTTCTTCTTAAGCCTGAAAAAGTAACGAATAAGTCAGTGAAGAAACAATAATTTCCAAACTACCTCTCTTCACAACAAGCAGATTTACAAGAAACAAGTATCGTTTGTGTTCTATGCCTAAATGCTAACTAATTACGCTTTAACTAATTGGAGACAGAGAGGAATGATAAATGAGGCTGCAAAGTACCTAATTTCATACAGTGTTTTTATCAGGTCTGTGTCAAGACTTGCCATTTCTGCAGGGCTCAATGTTCCTTTACCATTCTCTGAGGTGAGAGAAATCCCTTCAAAGATATTTTTGTGGAAGTTAAGACTTAGAGTGTGTGTAGCAGATTAACATTTCATCTCTTGAGACTGATTTTACAAGTCACTTACTGACCATTAGCAAGCTGACCTGAAGAAATGCATTCCTTTGTTAAAGCTCACACTTCTGCTTAAGACAGAAACTGACTGTCACTTCACTACCTGCAGGGGTCTACAAGAAGGCTGGGAGGGTCTGTAGTGATAGGCCGAGGGGCAATGGGTGGAAGCTGAAACAGCGCCTACGTTTAGATAAGATCTGAGGAAGAAGTTCTTTACCCTGAGGGTGGGGAGGCACTGGCACAGGTTGCCCAGGGAGGCTGTGGATGCTCCATCCCTGGCAGTGTTCAAGCCCAGGCTGGACAGAGCCTTGAGCAACCTGATCTAGTGGGAGATGTCCCTGCCAGGGCAGGGGGTGTTGGAATTAGATGATCTTTGAGGGCGCTTCTGACCCAAATCATTCCATGACTCTACGATATGACTGGAAAAGCTTTATCAGTATCTGGCACTGTGATTACCCACATTTACACTGAACTAACATTTCCCTATCATCATACACCACAAACAAAGAAGGGTTTGTAAAGAACTCCAACATTATTTGCAGTAATCGAACTTCCTCACAGATCACTTCATCTCACTGTGTGTCATGTAATGACTTATTTTCAATACATATTTATCAATATGAACAACTTCTTTAGATAATCATTCCATTGCAGTTTAGTTTTTCACATTTTGCCCAAACCCCAGTTAGTAGTTCATATCCCATAGTCCTTTATTTATCCCTCCTCATTTGAAAACGTCATGTTCAAAGACCAATTTCTTTCTTCAGTCTTTTATACAGTTGATACAGGTGCATCAATCTTTTCTTGATTGACAGGAAGCATACATGAGGCATCACTCAACTAGGAGTGTACAAAATAGTGGTGGTAAGAGAAGCATTTATTGAAACGATTACATTATTATGCAGGAAATATAGGCAACACAAGCTACTATGGGTCCATTTAAAGGATACTGCTCACCTTTTTGGTTTGGGTAGTCCCATTGGAGTAAGGTTAGGGTCTGGCTTAGGAACAGTTTTCCTGATTCGGATCTGTGACACTTTCTTTGGCCTCTTTTCTGGCTCAGTCTTAAGAAAGAAAAAAGAAAAAAAAAAGTTAAATTGAAGGAAATAATGACCACACTAGTCAAGAGTTCCCTTTTATGTCGAGTATACGTTATCTATAGAGTAAACATTCTTCTTTGTTTTGCCACTTTCTTTCTGCTTGAATAAAAGAAAGTGGCAGCACACACTAGGAATAGCAGCCTCTTCTCTCTCCTCGCCTTTAACAGTTGCTAGATAATATTCAGCAGCAGCTTCAAGTTCTGGGGAACCAAGAGTCTGAGATACCCAAAACCTAAAATAAACTCACTTTTATCAGTTCTGTGTCATCTTGGGATTTAAGACAGGCTGGAACAGACGCATCAGCTTCGTCAAGGGCATGCACCTGGAGTTTAGATGCTGGAAGCCGGGGGGGAGATGAGGATGATGCTGGGAGTGAGCAAGACTTTGGTAACGGAAGAGGGAATGAAGTTTCCAGACTGTAACAGAGGAAGAAGGCAACATATGTAGGTTAATACTCAATTTATGTTGCAACAGCATTCCATGCTCTCAGGTGATGGTCCTAAATTGCAGTATGGGCACAGAAAACAATGCAATTTTGTGCCAAGTAAGTGAACTCTCTCTCCGGTACGTACACACCACCAAAACCTGCCACAGCCCACATTGAGATTATAACAAACTGAACTGCCAGAGTATATGAGCATGGAATTATAAACCCGCTCGTTTCCTATCGTCGAATAGTTTACAGCGCTACTTAGGAACTACTAAAAGTGATTAATCCTCCTTTTATCAGCAAATTTCTTTGATGGAACTATTAATTATACTTTTTGTTTACAGATAAATTCAAAAGATAGCTTTTATATCTACCATCCCAACACTGAAAAAGAATAGAGAAGGTTCAGCACTTAACGTCCAGTCGCTCAGACAGAAAGAACATATACCCAAGTAAGGAAACAAACTTCTACAGTTTCTTTACATAAGCGACACAACATGGTTGAAAGTAACAAAGCTGTTGGGTGCAATGATCTACATGGTGTCTGCATTAATGCCTCTCCACACTTCTCCACTGCATGATCCAGTCAGTTTACTTCACTACCATTTTAATCAGAAAGCTACTCTTGGAGTGAACTGCCAGGAGCTGAAAGCCAAAAGCACTGCCATAAGCAATGTCTTTCTGATGAAACTTATGATCCCACTACTCAGAATAAATATCAAAGCCCAAGAGACTCACCATATCTCATGACCTGCGGTCTGTAGTGCTTCCATACTCTGTACAGGTAAGTGTGGTGACATGGCATAGCTGGTTCAAAAGAAGAATGAAAAAAAAACAAAAACAGATAGACAGGAAGAAATTAGGTCTACATTGTAAAAAAACCTGAGGAAAAATTATTAGTATAAACTGGACTGTAAGACAAAAAATGCCAATATCGGGAATGAGAATGAAAGACTAAAATGATACAAGAGCAAGCCACACCTGCCATTAGTCCACTAGATTTCACTGACAGCTGGTCAAGGAAATAGTCCTACTTCCACTTAAAAATGGTAGTGATGAGAAAAGGAGATGAAAGTACAGAAAGAGAGGGAGACAATATTAGTCTTAAAGTTGTAACTATTTCTATGAAAGTCTATATTCCTCATTCAAACCTCTCAGGTTTTAAAATTAAAGTAACCAAAATCCTTGAGGGATTTGGCTACAAAATGAAAAAGTGCATAGTGGCAACAGTTGTAAAGGAAAAGAATCTGTAAAATTAACTCCCTGTTATCTCTAACTCCCACAGTCTTACCAGAATATTCTTAATTGATTGGAATAACCAAGGCCTTTTCATAAGGATTGGTAATTACCATAATTCTATGGCATAAAGTTCAGCACAGCAGCTCGAAGTCCCTTAATATTAAGCTTTATTTTTGTGCCTACACCATTAATAGCAGAGAGAAAAAAAAAATCAGCTGAGACAGTTTTTATGACATTAAACAGCAGTACTTGCTGTTCTCTCAAACTAACAGCTAAATGTATTTTAATGTTCTAAAGCAAAGAAGTTACAGACAGACTGGAATGCTATAAAATAAATGACCATGCTGGCAGCCCAGAAAATTCCAAATATAAAGACTCAAAATTTTGTTTCTCTCAGTGTTCCATTCACTATCCCAACACTACCGGAACCTGTATCAATAGTGGATCAGAGTCCTCCGTGCTAGAGGCAAAGCTTACTGTTTTATGCAATAACAATAATAAAAAGTTACAGGGAGAGGAAAAAAACCATTTTAGAAATTTTGAATAAAAATAAGCATTCATTAGAAAAAATAGATCTCACTTGAAATATGCTTTAGTACTGGCAGTGGAAGTGACAGACAATTTTTAGGCAGGAGAACTACTCCAGTTCCTTCTTTTCCTGGTTATTAAAAACACTAATTATGAAAGAAATAAATTAAAGAGGGCAAATCTCTTCCAGAAGAAGATAGCTTTCAGAAAGCTTGGAACTACTTTTTTTTTTTCTTTTCTAATTTTTAATCAAAACAAAGATTTTTTGCATACTGGAAGCTGAAAATGCTTTTATACTGCACCAAACATATTTCTTGTATTCTCGTATTTATGTACCAAACATTTAGTTTGTAGAAGATATTTTTTGAGTACACACAAATTTAAGGGAGATTTACTGAATTATCCTTTTGTCACTGTTTATACCTTTAAAGAAACAACTATTAGTTGATGAGAACAGGCTGTCAATCTTCAGCAAAATGGAATCTAAAATGGTGTTAAATATTTGTATGTTAGGTTTTGTTCTTTATGTTGTTTTACAGCCAAACCTTTAATACTAATTTTTGCTTCACTGTTTTAGGAATAGCATTTATTTGCTGCATTTATTTACGCTTCTGCAAACATTGTTTTCAACTCACTGCATGCTATGATAACTTCACTTTAAAGAAAATTAGAATGAGGCTACCTCATACACATATTTGTGAGGCATTTTAGAGAAAAAACAAACTGAGTTTTAGACTATTTTAACTTTGGCTTATTTTTCACTTGAAGAAGTAAGGTTTGATTTGGCTTCTCTCTTTTTGGGGTAAAGATCATTCACAGAAAAACATTTGGTTTTCAAATTACCCTTTACGTCAAGGAATTAAATCCTCTTATACCTTAGCTAACTGGATATGCTGTAACAAGCTGCCGAGGAGTCTGTAGATTTAACTACGGGAGAAAACACGAGAGCGTAAGTCAGCTCTGGTCTCCCAGTCCAAGGATCACGTGCCTCAACAATACAAAATAATAAATTCACCTCATACACCAAAGCGAGAAGGTGTTTGTTTTGCTTTTAAAGAATGAAAACAATCTATTGTTTTTATGTTTAGTGCTCAAACTATAGTTTAGTGGTACAATTACTTCCAGAGTACTCCTTCATACATGAGAAAATTCAGCCTCATGTATTGACTCACATGGAATGAAAAAGAATGCAGGTTCAACAGAGCGCGCTGCAAAGTTGTCTCTAACAACATTCAACTTCTTTTATTGCAGACATCTCCCAGAACGGAGTACTACTTTCATGAGCTCACTCACACCTCTGGTAGACATTAGAATTTATACTTAAAAGTGATAAATTTTTAGGCACTTTATCCATATATACAAAACATAATGCAGCATTAGTTATCTGGCCAGATTTTTGGTTATACATATGTCGAGCCATGACATAAGATAAGCCAAATTCCGTGGCTCTCTGGAGACTGCCCTATTACACACACGGATTAATCAAATGGCTCATGAGCCTCTCCAGGAATCTCAAAGCCTCAAGTCACTGAGGCATAAAGGGCAAAGTCTTTGCTCAGGAGCATGCAAAAATTCTGTAACAGAGATAGGAACCTCTTCTCTCATTCTGTTTCTTAGTAAAAAAATCTCAAATGCTGATAGAAAAGTTACATTAAATATACCAAGTAGATTTCAGTCTTCTTCCCACTCATAATGAGAATGACTCACAGACAAAAACGTGTTAGGAACCTGAGCTGGAGCTACGCTTGCTTGTGCCAACAATACATCGGCCACATACTGTCAAAAGGCACATCACACATAAAGAGGTTCCGATTAGCATAGAACAGTCATGGAATACAATTAAAAATTTAACTGAATGCCACCCCCTGCCCCTTGGGATTCTTCCTAATAGGATATCGAGCATTTTACAGCGATTCTGAGTGGCACTTGTGGCTCAGACCTCTGAAAAGAACTTTCCTACCTCAGAAATCCAGTTGTTCTGCAGTCACTCTGAATAGACCTAACGAAGTAGCTCACCTTTCTGCATTATATATTCTGATGCATGGTGTATATATTTTGCAAGGGAGAAGAAAATAGAGTTAGCCATTCTGCCAAAACAGGATAGTATTAAAGAAGTGAAGGCAAATATATTTAAAATCAGCTAACAGACTGTTCCGTAGGGAGGAATCTTCCGTGTTGAGGCATTTTTGGAGTACAACATGTAGGCTTAGAGCAGGGGAAACTGACCCTCCAATGCAAGCTGCAATTACCCTCTCCCTCCCAAAAAGGAGCAAGTGCATACCCTATACACATTTAATCTCAGAAATAAGTTGATGGGTTTTACCTGTTCTCGATGCCCACACTTGGCTGCCACCTGCAGTAATTGGAATGGAGAGGAGTGGTTTCGGGGGGCCAGGCAGAAGGACCGTGCTGACTCCATATGGATAGTGCCCTGCCCAGTGAGTACGGCAATGAAGAGACGAGGTCATCAGATACAGAAGTTGGATGCCTTGTCCCTTTCAAACCCTGTGCGAATTGCGATATAAATAGTCTCTGGATGGTAGGAATATGACTCGTTAAGTTTCTTCTTCTCGTCCAAATCCTGTAACATCCAGGGGAAGAAAGCGCTAACACTGTGTGAAGCCCAAGCATGGAGCAACCTCCTCTTCTTTCAGCTACGGCACTTCTTCTGCGGCCAGGATGAACAGTGCTTGGGGTTGTTGCATGGAGAGAGGAATGTGGCTCGTAATTTCGACTGGACTCTTCTTTGAAAGCTGTCCTATCTGAACAGCTCTGAGACAGGAGAAAAGAGAAAGTCCACTGTGATGGCGGCGCTGCCATTTCTCCTAGAACAGGTCTGTGACGTACGGAGTGCGGGGATGCAATCCCTGTGAGGTCTGTTACACGACTGGAGTCCAATTTTATGTGAAAAGAAACTGGGAAAACTGGGGTATTGAAGGAGGTCAGAGGCTTGTGGCAAAAGTCTGAAGAAAGCATTTTGGTAGATTCTACAGGATAAAGTGCCAAAGGCTGAAAGCTGAACATCTTGGTGCACCAACTGTCAGCCCAGCGTGAGTGTAAGCTCCTGTTAATGCAAGAAAAGGCTTCCAATAGATTTTTAGATCTACGTTGGCTGTACCTCTCACCCACTGGAAGAATTTCAGAAGAATATGGCAGAGGTTCTACGTTATGGACGCTTTTGGCAGGCGCCAGGAGGTTGCTCGCCATTGCAGACAGCTTGCTCAACAATGCTGGCTCTTTGGTACATTTTCTAAATTTCAAGCTGCTCAACAAACTGCACCTCTTGGCCCTCTGCCTTGGCATATGGACGAACCTCACGGCTGTCTGCGTTTCCATTGTCAGGGGCTTACGTGGACAGTACAAAGATTTGAGAAGTGGGTTTTCCTGGTTAGGGAGTATTTCTGGGGGAATCTCAGAAAAAGGTGAACTTTTATTTTTTTTGCTTTTTCTTACGGTTGTTAGCCGATACGATGTGAAAATTTTTTTGCATGTCCTTCCAGGCTGTCTTTTTAATGGAAGAGGTTCTTTTAGTTTATTTGTAGTCCCAAAGGCACCAGGAATTCCATCATGCTGTAAATTAAGTTTCGGGTTTTCCATTTCTGAATCCTGAGTCTTCAAAAACTGTGAACTAAGAATATCTGTGGTAATCTTTGGCCTTTTGACTTCTTGTAAAGTGCTACGTAGCTTATTTTCACTGGTTCTGACAGTAGAGATCTCCTCTGAAGGACCTTCAAACTTCATATTTCTTGATGGCACCAAATCATTTGAGGTGCTGCATGAAAGTTCAGAACTGTGCAACACACTTGGTTGCAGCATGATTTTTGCTTCCTCTTGATACTCTGACTTCTGTTCTTCTTGTGCCTTCCCTGACAGATGTACTTCCGTCTTGTCATACTTTTTATTTTGTTTAAATGCGTGACATTTCTCTATTTGATCAAGTGTCTCTGAACCTAAAGTCTCCTTTTCCTTGCAAACGGAATGAGTTGGTATAGCGTCCCGGCCTTCTGTAATCTCCTTTATGTCATCTTTGCCCTGTGCATTTAATTTGTAAGGTGCACGTACTTCACTGCAAACCTCACAGTTTGGAGATGATTCTTTGCAACTGTTTGATACTATACTTATACGTGGATATAATGTGGGTGTTGTTTTATACTGCAATTCTGGAGAAGTTTCTGTGTCAGTCAGATCTTCAGCTTGACCATCATGTACAGTGTCTGAAAGCAGACTGGTACCTGTGGAGTTTGTGACCTTTGTATCATTTTTTCTTTCTTTTGAAAGATTATTTAGGTTAGATCTTGGGATTTCTTCCAAAGTCTTTCCATAATTCTCAGTACTGAGAGGGACTATATTGCAATCAGCCTCTTTTGAATCTTTCAACAAGGCCCGTAGACAATCTTCTTCATCAAGAAACGAATCTACGGGAAACTTATTTCTGGGGCCTACTTCTCTTCCCATCGTCTCTTCAATACACGTACCCTTAAATTTCTCCCCAGAGCGAGTACTTTTTGGTGAGGTCACATCCATGGCTTTCACAGTCAGCATGCTATGCCCCTCATCTCTTAGATTTTCTTTGCTGTGTGCACACATTCCTGAGCCTTTTGCAACACTCAGAACGCCAGTTGCTATTTCATTCTCTGAAGATGAAATCTCAGTGTGGCTGGCTTTTCTCTGAACAGACGTCGTTACAGAAACAGATTTTGTCACTGAAGAATCTTTGCTAAAAACTTCGGCGGAAGATGAATCATTACCTGTTTGTGTTTTCTCAGATTTCACACACAGCTTTTCTTTCACAGGCAGAGAGATCCCCAAGTTCAGAGCTGACGGTGTTTCTGAATCCACCTGAGTCTCATTAAAAGATTTTTGGTTATCAAACTTCCTGAAATGCGATAGACCAATACCCTTTTGTGCCACAGTTTCTTTGCCAGGCTCAATTGTTAACTGCAGGCAAGAGTTATTTAAGATAGATTTTATTCTCAGACTTTTCTTGTTTTCTGTCTCTGAAAGTACATTTATATTTTCTGGCTTATATGACAGACTCCCATGAATTGATGAGAAGGGCAAAAACTGGGAATTAACTGTATTTTCCTGGTCCTCCACCAACCACTTTGGCAAAGATTGCTGTGTTTTGTTTCCTGGAAACACTAGCTCTGCTCTCTCTTTTGTGCATTTGATAAAGCAAGCATGCTGTGAGCAATGTGATTTGCTATCAGACAAGTTTTCTTCAAGAGCTCCTCTTTCGCATCTGTTCTTGTGTTCTTTTAGTCTGATTGTCTTCTCTTCAACTACATCACTGAGGAAGCCCTTGTGTCCTGAACAGTCTTCATTTCTCACACCATGGAAAGAGTCCAAATCCACTACATTCTTTTTTAGAGTTCCTTGAAAACTTTCACACGTCCTTGCATATGTATGAAATAATAGAGGCAGGTTGTCACTTGCTTTTAACACTATCTCTTTACTTTTGCCAGAGCCAACTGAAATTTCAGTTTCATCCACAGACGCAGCCCTAGTTTGTGAGCCAGGGTTTGGCCGGTTGTTTAAGCTTTCTACATGTCGATTGCTGCCTAGAACTGGTCCATTGAACTCACTTTGACACGCAAAACACTGATTTCCCACTGGATGAAGCGTCTTTTCTGTTGAGCTAGCATGACGTGTTTGAGCATCCACATTGCTGACTAAGAGACACGTATCGCAGATTGAAGCGCTACACTCAGAGGGGTTACCTGTGAGTGATGACACTTCTTTCTTCTCATATGTGCCTAATTCTCTCTTCTTTGGGCCTAATGGAGAGTTGCAAAATCCATAATTATGAACACAGGGTTTTTTCTTCCAGTACCTAACTACTAGCTGTTCACTAGTCTTATTTCTCCAATTGCCTTCAGGAGCCTTTGAAGAATCCACAGTACTTATTTTATCAAATTCATCTGTCTGGAGAGCACACATACCAATTTGTCCTTTTGCCTCTTCTCTGTCACAAACCATTTCTCCATCATCTGTTACTTTACAAAGATTAAATTGTTTCACAACCTCCACATTCTTATTTGAAACCTTATCTCTTACCAAGGCAGCAACAGATTTCTCTGCAGTAGAAGCTGAGCAAAACATGCTGTTTGCTGTGGAAATGTCATTTATCGCGTGCAGATCCATACCTCTGTCATTTTCACAATACCAGTCATTTTCACAAGGAGGAGATCCACATGCTTCTGGAAAGGCGATTGCCTTTTTACTATTGGATCCAGCTGAAGCTTCTCCTTCCAAATCATTATTTTCTTCAATCTTATCACTCTCCACATCAAGAGAATGACTGTTTGGGAGAACATAATTTACACATGTACTCCCTGATAAAATACAGGAAGTACTGGCAGCAGTATATTGGTCTTTTGTATTCTGATGATTACAATTCCATGTGTTGCTGTGTTCATTTTCAAAACCAGTGACCACACTCTCTATATTTCCCACCGAAGACCTCATGTCCTTTTGCGGATCTCTGCTTGCTGTATTAGGGTTACCAAAAGTCCTGGAACTTACTGAAAACTTGAACTTGTCTTTATGAAGCACAATTTCAGTGACTTGCTCCCCTGTTGTTCCAGAAGCAACACCTGATTCTTTTCCAGGTGGACTATCTTGAGCCTTGTCCCTGCTTGAAACTTCATTAGCAGTACAAGGACACTCATTACGATGAGGTTCTCTTGATTTTTGTGCAACAGGAGGTAGAGTTACATTTAGTGTACAAAACAAATTACTTTCTTTGCCAGTGGACAAAGTGTCGTTACTAGCTTCTGTAATTTCAACAGAACTACCAGTCAACACTACTGATGTCCTGTTACTCTCAAATTCCTTTTCAAGCAGTTTTGCCTTAGGTGAATCTTCTTCCAGCTTGGCACTGAGACCCAGACAGCTGTAACTACTGGCAGGAGAAATTTTACTGGAGCCATTATAAAAGCACACGTCTGTCCGTCCAGTTTCATAGGAAGCAATGGTGTTTGTTTCCATCAATAGACTATGTTCCTTTATATCATCCTTGCATGGATCACTGGCACACAATTGCCACTGGTCCTTTTTCAATTTATCATCTTCTGATGGGACTATTTTAAATTTTTCTTTTGAGAACTCTTCAGGAGATGAAGCTACAGAACTAAAAACTGAAGAGCAACAATGGTCAGAATTAGCAGCCTCTTGTGCTTCAGGCCAGCTACAAACTTCAGCATTGTCTCCTACGGCAGTTTTTCTCCAGACTTCAGCAGCACGTACTTCCCTATGATCCATTTTAGCACTAGATAATCCTTCGTTCCTGACCACCGAGATCTGCTTTACTGGTACAGATGTGGAAGTTGGATTTTCTACAGACCCAGTTCCATGATCATAGTAAGTCTGACTTCTGATTTTTTTGGGAAGATACTTTTGCTGAGTTTCATTAATATTTCCATGGACTGCAGTACTATTGCTTTCTAGCAGCGTATTTCTAATGTCCAAATAAGTGATGCTTTTCAGAACTGAACATAAAACTTCAGAACTTTTTGTGGAGAGTGTTCTACAGCTTTCTACTGGTGACAGCTTACGAAGTTCATGATGTTTAGGTACAGGTCCAGTACAGAAGTCATGAGCATTGTTTTCCTCATCCTGCTGATAAGTCGGGCAAGTAGCAAGTGATCTATTGAACTCACAAACAGGATTTTGTCTGGGTACATTTTCTTCTCTAGCGTCCAAAACAGATACAACATTGGCCCCTCTTCTCAATGGTATGGCAGTATGGGCTTTCAACCAGTTATATTCGTTTGATTCTTGTGGATGCTCTGTGGCGGATTCAATGTCCATGACTTTTAAAGGCTCTAAAAAACCTAACATGCTGGTTTCTGAAACCCCAGCTCTGGCCATGACTGCGCCTACGTCTGGGCATTCATTGCTCTCAGGTGGAAGACCTTTACTTACTCTGTCACTCCTGTATCCTGCTTTACTAAATATCCTAGTCCCATCAGCCTTCATACCTTGTACTTCTTCAGTGAGCTTTGGCAGAGTTTCAGCTGTCACCTGAACATTTGCTTGGTTTTCTTCTGTGTAAGAAAAAAATAAAGCAATCAGAACCATATGCTAAATTTAGAAGACATTCAGCTTACTGAATTCCTTTCAGCGTTGTACACAATGCTGTGCACAGTGTTGCTTACCAAAATGTTTTTAAAAGTAAGAACTGATGCTAGCAATTCTACTACAAACCTTTAGAACAAAGAACAACAAACTATCCCACCACTAACCTAAGGTAACAAATGCAATCCCTTTCAATACAGACATGCCCCATGAACAGCAGGCATCCAGAGAGCCGTATTTTTCACATTCCTCTAATACTGGGCTAGGTGCATCGCCAGTCTTATAACTCAATACATACGAAGTCATGGCCAACACCATAACGCTCATTTGTAACATCGAAGCTCGCTGCAGCTGGGTACTTTCTCTGCTCTATTCGAGGGGTATGGCTGTGCACCAAGCAGCCACTGTCACTTCTTCCTCAGAGGGGTTCTGTCAGTAGGTAATGCGTAGGAAGACGAAGTGTATCTCATTTTATCCACACAGTTACGGTTTTAATACACTTTTTTTGTAATATTGCAAAGAAGATGCCAATTAAAAAAATTAGAGTTACTGAAGAATATTTTCATGTTTGAAACTTTACAGGAAACATATGTGCTCAGACTTCTACACATTTTTTTATTTTTTTTTCTACTAAGGACCAAGACTAGATGGTATTCTTCAACTAAGTCCAAGTTTTGGTTATGTGAGCATGGAGGGAGAAAAGTAATTACTAGAAGCAGGCATCTAGTCCTCCTCCTTTGGATTCTGCACTTCTAATTTTATTTTTCAGAACATTAGAAAATAAAGGAGTTGCACTTTTCCACATCTTCGCTATTACTGCTTGCATATAAATCAGCTTTGAAACAAAAGGAAATGCAAAGCATCTGCTACTAATAGCACTTTATGCTTCGGGGTAAAGAAGTATTTGAAATAAATAACTAAAACACATCTTGTACATATAAAAGGTCTTCAGGAAAGTACCCATGCTGCCAGGAAAAGGCTGAGGATTAAGTTTTCATATTGTTCTAAATATGCAAAGTAGTAGCTTTTACTGTAAAGTAAAAGAAGTAAGCTATCCTACAATCATACGTCTATTTTAAATCAACAAAAAGTAACCTGGGAGAGAAGCAGGGAGGAAGATAGGGATGTAGAAGTAAAATATGCACCTGTGATCTTCAGAGATCCTGCTCTTTCTGTGCAATTGCTTCTTGAAGCCTTCACCTCATGCTGGTTTAATTGAGGGTCCTCCTGAAACAAGAGAGAAGTGTCAGTGAAAACAGATCCATTTTCTGAAAGGTGTAGCATATCTCAGGGACTGTACCTTCTCAGCTAGGTTAGTTCTAAGTAAGTAAACTACCAAGAAACCTCAGAACTTATCAGCCCTCGCATGGAGGCAGCCTTGCATTGCAAGAGGCTCACGCATGTGCTTGCCATCCCTTCCTGCCACCTCGCCACTAAACAAAGAAGCATCCAGAAAATTACAAATTTGTATTCAGAAGCAATGAAGTCTTACGATGCAAGCAGCTAAAACGTAAGTGGCTTAAAATGCAATTTGCCGCAAATTTGAATCAGAATAATCATCCAGTCTCCACATCTATCTTGCATCCCCAAACCATTACTGTACGCCTCTGGTAAGATGCACGTGTTTTCTAGTCTTCATTAGAATTTGCCTTCTATCACTTCTTCCCCTGGCTCATAAACACAAACATGAGAACAGATGACCCAGGTCTACTTGCAAAAAATAACCCAAGACAAACCAAAATAAGAGCCCACAACTAAACTACCTGCATTTTGAAATGTGTGCAAATTCACCTTGAAAAAGTGAATGACTATAGAAAATTTAATTAGCTTTATTTTCACATACTTTCGAATAAATCAAACGGACATAAAAATCCAGAATTAAAACCATAAAGTATTTTAGTATTGTGCAGCATGCAGTAATTAGTGTAAAATACACACCTATGCACCTTATCCAGGTATTTCCTGGCCGGTATGTGTTCAGCCACAAGACTTTCTGTCTCCCTTACGGTCTTCTGGGGAGATTAAAAAGTGACCTACTAAACTGGAGCCCCTTGTAGCATTATAATACTATTACCAGACTGAAATAACTATTGGTTAGTGGTTGATGGGGATGACATTACCAGCAGAATATGCTGTAGCCACAAAACATGACAGGAAGCTTTTAAAGATGTTTCTCTTCTTTTTAGCCACGAGTTCTGTTCTTTGTTCTGTTACATACCTGCCTCGTGCCATTCCATTTTAAAATATCAAGTCTACTGAAGTACACGCTAATCTTTCACTGGGCCCATGATAATCCAAGTAGTGACACACTTGCCAGGAGACACAAATAAGAAAGAGGAAACCCCATGGACAAGGTCCTCTGGCCGGTCACTCTAACTCTAAATTCAAAATATCACACAGGGATGAATTTTTGCATTTGCTTACTTGTTTTGACCAACTTTCCCCAGGCATTAAAGCAGAGCATTCAGCATGATACTTCTCAGCATCTTGTGCCTCTGTATCTTCTTTCTGGTATCCATCACAAGAACAGTCTAGTTTCCTAAAGTTTCTTTCTTTAAATTTGTTGTCCTCTTTAAGGTCTCCAGCGTTTTGTAATGCTTCACTAAGGGATTCTGCTGGCCCATGTGAAATCACCATAAGCACATCACCCAAATCCTCTGTCTTCTGGCAAAAGTTTTCTGCTCCAGAAGTCCTGCGCTGCTCCGCTAACAGACTGTCCCTGGGTGCTAGCACAGCTGTGGCTACACCAGATTTTCCACCTAATCCAACAGCAGGCTCCGATACAGCCATGAGTTCAGGGCAGATGCTCTCCGGCAGTCCAGTGTACAATTCCTCTATTACAGCAGAATCTAGGAGACACTCCACTCCAGATGATAGCATCAGGGCAGCTGAAGATCGATTGTCCTGAGCTTTTCACACTTTACCCTAAAAAGAAAAGCAGCGTCAGATCAAATACATAGAAGTAATCTCTAGATTAAAAGGAAAAGCTTCATTCTTCAAGAGTCAAACATATGTGTTTAAGATATTTCCAGATGATTTTTTTAAGAAAGGAGCTTAGAAACATTCAAGTATCTAAGCAAACGCTTCATCAATAAAAGAAAGTACAGACAGATAAGATATTCCCAAGCCTCATTTTCACATCCAAATGTCTGCCTGGAGACATAACATCATCTTCTGGAAAACCCAGAAAGAGACTATAAAGGAAATTGCTGGAGTGTGTACTAGACACCCTACTCCTTAGACAAAAACTAAAGCATCATTTCTTTTTCTGTGATTTTCTTCAGTTTCTAATCTTTGGGAAAAAAGCCCAACTTTTCTTCAGGTCCTCTGTCTCGAGGGAACACTTGCTGCATCATCGATCACACGCTGTGCCTCGCCGCTTCTCTCACACAAGCACCTGGCGCTGTACGAAGGACGCTTTTCCACGCAGCCCGGGCACCGGCGTCGGGATCTCTTCAGCCCAGGGCGGGACGCGCCGGTCCCCGGCAGCCTCGGCCAGCGAGAGCGGGCAGCAGCGCAGGC